GGGAGATGCAATGATGTTGATACACATAGCCCATGTCTAAATAATTTAAAGGTCCGAATAGCGGATGGTTCGCTATCAAAGGTTATCGGTACAGGTTCAGTTGTGCTATCAAAGGACCTTACTCTCAACTCTGTTCTTTTTGTTCCTAACTTGGAATGTAATCTATTGTCACTAAGGAAAGGATGTGTGTTATTAATTTTTCCTCCACTCACCGTGAATTTCAGGATTTGGATTTGGGGAAGACGATTGGCAATGCTGAGGAATGCTCTGGACTCTACATCCTTAAGGAGCACTACTATCCACAAGAAAAACCTCAAAAGGCAATTAGTGGTAATTCTTTTTCTGTTTCTTGTCAAAATAACAATCGTGAAATCATGTTGTGGCACTATCGCTTAGGTCATCCAAATTTCATGTATCTCAAGCATTTATTTACATCCTTATTTAACAAAAATCCAAAATCCTTTGAGTGTGAAATCTGTCAATCATCAAAACATGTTCAGTCTCATTTTCCCATTCAACCCTACAAAGCGTCTAGTCCATTCTCAATGATTCATAGTGATATTGGGGTCTGTCAAAAATAAAAAATGTAACAGGTGCAAGGTGGTTTGTCTCATTCATATATGATCACACTAGATTAACCTGGGTATTCCTCATGAAAGAAAAATCAGAAACATTTCAAATATTCAAAAGTTTCAAAAATATGATTCAGACCCAATTCCAATAAAAAATAAAAATCTTAAAGTCTGATAATGCTAGAGATTATTTCAACTCCAACCTAGGAGAATTTCTAGCGAAAGAATGAATAGTTCACTTAAGTTCATGTATAGATACCCCACAACAAAATGGAATCGTTGAAAGAAAAAATCGACACTTACTAGAGCTGGCTAGATCGCTCATGTTCGCAACAAATGTACCAAAATATCTCTGGGGGGAAGCAGGTCTTACGGTAGCTTACCTTATCAATAGAATGTCGTCTAAAGTTCTAAAATTCAACACACCTTGTCACACCCTTCTAAAATCCTTTCCAACAACAACAACTCGTCTTATTTCCACCATCCCACCCAAAATTTTTGGGTGCCCTGTCTTTGTCGATGTCCATCAACAACATAGAAGTAAACTCGATCCTAGGTCACTCAAGTTCATCTTTATTGGGTATTCCTCAAATAAAAAAGGATATAAGTATTACTCTCCAGTTACACAGAAATTCTATCATTCGATGGACATCACCTTTTTTTAAAACCAACCTTACTATCCTAAAACTGATATTCAGGGGAAGAATTCAACTCAGGAATATCAATTTTAGGACTTTGAGTCACTCATTAAGTCACCCATCACCACCAAAAATCACATTTCTCTAGAGCCTCCTGATCAACTCTTACTTGTCGAAAACACTAAGCTCATTATTAACTTGCGGGAAAAGGAGCACATCCAAAAGGAAATGGAGGAAGGAGCACTTCCTCAACAAATCCATGAAGCTAAACCATGTCCGAATTTGAGCGAAATTCTAGGTAACAATATTTTTGACTTAGATAGTGTTGTTGATTCCGAGTTAGAAAATGATACTCTGAATATGCCCATAGCTTGGAGAAAAGGAGTTAGATCATGCACTCAGCATCCCATGGGGAATTTTATTTCATATGATAAACTATCACCATTTTTCCATGCCTTTACTGCTAGTATCACAGAAATACAGGTTCCTCAAAACATTCAGGAAGCTTTCAATGTCCTAAGTGGAAAACTGCAGTTGATGAGGAAGTTCAGGCTCTTGAAAAGAATGTTACTTGGGAAATTACTGAACTCTCGAGAAGGAAGACACCGGTTGGGTGTAAATGGATTTTTATAGTAAAGTACAAGGTAGATGGGAATGTGGACAGGTACAAAGCGAGGTTGGTCACCAAAGGATTTACTCAATCATATGGCATTGACTATCAGGAAACGTTTGCTCCCGTTGCCAAGCTCAATACCATTCATGTACTGTTATCCTTGGCGACAAATCTTGGTTGGTCGCTTCACCAACTCGATGTAAAGAATGTCTTTCTCAATGGTGACTTAGAAGAAGAAGTGTATATGGAAATTCCTGTAGGCCTAGAATCAAGATTCAATGTCAACAAGGTATGTCATCTCAGAAAATCCTTGTATGGCTTAAAATAGTCTCCTCGTGCCTGGTTTGAAAGATTCACTAATGCAGTGAAAAGGTATAGGTACTCTCAATGTTAGTCGGACCACACATTATTTGTGAAACACTCATCTGATAGAAAATTGGCTGTTATCATTGTGTATGTGGACAATATCATTCTGACATGTGATCATGAGGAGGAACTATGTAAGATTAAACAATTCCTTGCAAAGGAGTTTGAAATCAAGTATCTGGAGAACCTCAAATTTTTTCTTGGAATGGAGATTGCACGATCAAAGAAAGGTATAGTAGTCTCACAACATAAATATGTTCTGGATTTGCTAAATGAAACAGGAATGCTAGGATGCAAGCCTGCAGAAACTCCTATGGATTCAACTGTCAAACTTGTTAACAATGATGATAGTGCACCGGTTGATAAATGAAGGTATTAGCTCCTTGTAGGAAGCTCATATATCTATTTCATACAAGGCCAGAATAGGTTTCTCAGTAAGTGTGGTAAGTCAATTCATGAGCAATCCTACTGAGAGTCATATGACAGTTGTCTATAGAATATTGAGGTACATCAAAATGACACCTGCTAAGGGTCTTTTCTTCCAAAGAACGATCAAGAGGAATATTGAGATATTTTTAGATGACTGGGCAGGTTCAGTGATAGATCGCAAATCAACATCAGGATATTGTTCTTATGTGTGGGGAAACTTGGTGACTTGGAGAAGCAAGAAGCAATTTGTTATAGCTCATAGTAGTGCAGAAGCAGAATTTCGAGCCATGACACAAGGAATTTGTGAAGGAATTTGGTTACAAAGATTATTGTCAAAATTAAAGGTTCTCTTGGAGCATCATATAGAATTATATTGTGACAATCAAGCTGTCATCAGTATAGCCAAGAATCCAATTCATCATGATCGAACTAAGCATATGGAGATAGATCGACATTTTATCAAAGAAAATATTAAAGAATGAATTTTAGGGTTAACTACACTCCGACAACCAGTCAAACTGCAAATATTCTCACAAAAAACTCTTGCTCGAGCCAACTTAAAAGACTTTGTAGAGAAACTTAGTATGATCAACATTTATGCATCGGCTTGAGTGGGAGTGTTGAAAGTCAAGCCGTTGATTGTATTTATTTGATTGTTTTGTTTCTTTGTTATGTATTAACTAGTGTATCTTGTTTTTTAGGAGGTTTTATTATTTTAAGAGTTTTTTATTTCTTAATTATTCTTTTCATTTTACAAGAAAATTGAATTCTTAATTATTAAATCTTCTTGATTTATTTTTATTTTTTTCCTTTAAGAGAGATTCATTTCTGGAATTGTCTCACTATTATAATCTATTTATTTCTATCTTTTTTATTCAATAAAAACGTAGGTCAGAGAAGAAATTGAGTTGATGTTCTTTGGTTCTTTATTTCCTTCGATTGGCCTAGTCCACTAGCAGATAAACCAACTCAATGATCAAATCGTTTGTTGCAAAATAATAATATCATACTTTTTACATTACATCATTTTAGTACATTAACGTACTTATTCAACTGCACGCGAAACCAGTTCACACTTCCATCATAACTTATGCCTTTGCTTTCTTGCCGATATTCACCCGTACACGTTTCACTAACAAAATATCATTCCACTTGATTTCATGTAAATATATAACAAAATCAAACGGCTCACAAATAGCCAACGCACTTATGTAGTTATTGGCAATTGCACATGAGATCACAGTTTCAGCTTTATGTGTCATTCAATACCTCATTATTTATTTTTTTTGACGAATTTAATGAATTTTATAAGAAAATTTTGACCATTTTGAGGATATGTAGTTGATTACAAAGATCTCTGGAATTTAGTAAGAGGTTTTTCCTCGTATAGTCACCGTATGAATGGATAAATACAAATATAAATTCTACTTGAATAAATGTTCAATAACTGCAAATAAATAATATAATTATATCACGCCAATTTATATATAAAATTTCATACATTTGTTATGAATAAGTAACGCGTCTTTTAAATGAATTGTATAATAATAAAACATGCTTATATAATATCCATAAATTAATAATAGTAACTTGTCACATTGATATGGATAAAGTTATAACAATTAAGAATAAAAATTCGTAACAAAATAGTAATTACTTGTAAACTACGTTTGAGTTGTACCGTGTTATAAGTTGTCATTTGAATGCAATAATTTTGAAATCCAATTATCATCTAATTAAGGAGTTAATAACATTTTCATCCTTAATGTTTGGATAAAGTATCATTTTGGTCCATGAAAATCTGAAAAGGTTATTATAGTTCCCCTCAATCTACTGCATTAAAAGGAATTATTAACTGTGTTAATGCTTTTGAAACTGAAATATCTGTTATACCCCCATTTGTCTTATTAGGAAGAATAAATATAGAATAACAAATTAGGACTTCAGAGATTAATATAACAAAATTACAATGAAATAATAGACAATTAAAAACATTCAAAGATTTAAAATAAAAATCCGTAATTTCAAAAACAAAAAAAACAAAAAAATGGTCATATCTAATTTTAATTTTATAATTTTACAAATTAAAATGTTTCTTTTTTTAATTTCGTTTTACTATCCTTAAAATTTATGAAATGATAACTATACCCTTATACTGTTTCATATTTTACTGGATCAAAGTGACATTGACTCTAAAGCAGAAGTTTCGTATCTAATTACAGAAGTCCATTCCGAAAAGTTACGATAGAAAATTGAAAAATATATACGTGTAAAATAAGTAGACCAAATGACGAAAATGCCCATGGACAACAACGGAGGCGACGAAGAAGATTCGCAGCAGTCAACAATGTCAACATTGTGTATAGTTTTGTTTTATTTTGATGATTTTATAGTTCATTTAGACGGCCATCTGTTACATCATCAAAACCGCACCATCTTCACCTTCGATTCATCAAAAATACCCCCTTTCTTACTCTTTTTCTATTTTTATTCCTCAATTACTCTCAGCATCTCTTCATTTATTTTTTTTGTCTCTCTTTCCATCTCTAGCTTTCAGGTTTGTTCTTTTTTATGCTTAGCTGTGTTTTTTTTTTTTTAATCTTTAGCTGCAGAGTGTTGTTTTCATTTTTCAGTTGAATTCTTTTAGTTTGTTGTTTGAATTGTGAAGTTGAAGATGTTTCTTCGGACTTCGTTTTAGTTTAGTTCTTGGTTTTTGCGAACTGGCTTGTGGTGAATCTAGTTCAATTTTGAGGTTTTGTCTTTGAATTTGTAGCTTTTGTTTCAATTGGGAATTTGTTATACTTGTTTTGCAGTATGATGAACTTGGGCTGAAGCCTCGGTGGAGTTTCGCTGCTGATTGCTGGAGATTTTACTGAATTATTTCGAAGTCAATCCGAGTTTCATTTATTGAATCAATTTGGTAACTGTATCTTCAATATTGAATTAGGATTTACCGTTATTGTGAGATATGAAACTCGCCTTTTTGTAATTGTGTTTGGGCTCTTGAACTCAGAAATCAGTGGTGTTTGAAGTTTGGGAACTGGGTTTCCTGGTGTTGTCTTTTTGGTGGCTTGTTTTAAACAATACTGAGCGGGTTTCATAAGCTTCTGGAATTGGATTTCAGTTTCGGCTTTTAAATTTCCTTAGTTGTTAATATCTCTACATATAGAGATGCTTAGACGATCTGTTGAATTAGAAAGATGGAAATGGGGCAGATTATTTCGTTGAGAATGGTGGGTACTTTGTTTAGTCTACTGCTATTTGTACAATTGCCGGGAATCTTTGTCTCTGGATTTGCTACACATTCAAACGATTGCGGCGCTGGTCTCATAGCATATTTAAATTCTTATGATGTTGAATTATTTTATATAAATGGAAATCTGGTGGACAAAACGAAGTTTTGTAAGGCTCTCCAATTTCACTATGCAAATCATTGTGCCTTCGAAGGATTCTTTGGAAGTGATTACTGTGGGTTGGACCTTTCTCTAGGTATGTGCCAATATGAAATTTTTGTTTGTCTTTTCTATTAAAGGATTAATTAGTAATAGTATTTGATATTGTTTTGGTTAATGAATATTAGTCAAAACTTATGGTAAAACTCTCGGAACTATTATCAATGTGTTATCTTTTTCACAGCTGAGTTGCCTTACAAGACTGGAAGAAAAATTTTGCAAAAGGATATGGAAGAACCCAAAACTAACGGTAAACATCCTATTCCTCCAATAGAAGACGAGAATGATCCCAAATCTCTTTCGACCCCGAAAAAAGTTGGTATAGCAGCAGCTGGAATTTTTTTCTTCTTGTCTTGTGCTGTAATCTGTCCCTGTTTCTATAGAAGAAGGAAAACCACTGCGCATACTGTTCTCTCCAAGGACCTGAATTCAAGTAAGTTTTTTATTAAAGTCTTGTAATAATAATGATGTAAAAAATTTAACCATTTATTGCCATGGATTAGCTTTAATAAATAGATGCAGCTTTGACGACTGAATCAGTTTTATCTTTTCTGCAAGTTCAGTTTTCTGAGATTTATACACTTGGTTTCCTCCTTTATGTTTCTGAGTATTTGTTTTCTTTTCATTTTCATATCTTGGCTGAGGCTTTATCAAAATCTTGACAAAATTTTGGATGGTTAGTTCTTGATTTTGTTGTGACATGCGAAATTCTGTTCTTGCAGTGGATTCTGTTTCCTCCTTCGAAATGAATTCTGCTTCTGAAAAGATTCCTCCAAGTCCGCTTAGGGTACCACCAAGTCCTTCCAGATTCACTATGTCTCCAAAACTCAGTAGAATTGGATCGATACATCTCAATATGAGTCAGGTTATCAAAGCTACACATAATTTCTCACCATCTCTACAAATTGGTGAAGGTGGTTTTGGAACTGTCTTCAAAGCCAAGCTAGAAGATGGCCAGGTGGTCGCCATAAAACGAGCAAAGAAGGTAATGTTAAAAATTCTTAAAATTCATATTCTATAATGTTAGAAGATTGATGATGGAAAAATATAAGAGAAATAGAGGGGGAGAGAGAAAGAAAAGAGGAAGTACAAAGAAAGAACAAAGGAGAAGAATGAGAGAGAAGAGGAGAGGAAAAAGACTACAGATTAAGATTTTTGATTATCAAACACAAAAGGAAATTACATTAAATAGTATTTCTAATATGAAAATCCTTGAATTACAATATTGTATGAATATTATCCCAAAATAACCAATTAAAGCATACATGAGCCCTTGGATCTATGTTTGCATCTCCTATAGATGCATGGGTACCCATTTGATCTTCATTAATTTCCTACTATTGAAGAGAGCATTTGATTTTTGCTAGTTAAACTACTTTGTAATGCTCTAAAACAATGGGTTCTAATTAGCGAAACTACCCCTTCGACATCCAAGCGTCATCCATGTAGGTTGATGTCCTCAAAATAGAATTCTTTAGAAGTAACAAGATACGTTTCTATGATTGGCATGGATGTCTTGTCATTCCAAGCAATGTTTAAGGATAAGGATGAAGATCTAGTTAAGCTAAAAGCTTCGTGAATGTAGATTTAGATATTATATTCCTCTTACTATCTACTCAGTTACTAACTTACAAAACCCCATCCTAACATGGAATGAAGGTATGAAAATACTTGTATATATTTGTTCACTAAAGTCTATAGGAATATGTTAGGATCCCACATTGAGAGGGAAAAGGGGTGGACATGTGGTTTGTAAGGGCTTGGGCACCCTCCCTTGGTAAGCCGGTTTCCAAGGAGAGTTCTACCCAAGCCCACCAAAGGACCATTGCTCAGCCTAATTCCTATCAAGGCTCACGCCCAATCCAATTTCTATCAATTTGAGAGTGGGTTCCTATCATAATACAGTGCACATATGTCCCTTTCATTAGCTCTCTTCTAGTGTCCTCCTCTTGATAATGCTCCCCCTCATTGTAGCAAAAAGAAACATGATTTCATTTGGTTGCTTATTAAGCTGTCGTTTTCTATGCCATACACCATTTTACAGTTTATCAATAATTGTGTTTCTTTGCTTAGGTTTTTATCCTATTGGGTTTTTCCTAAGTAAGGTTAAGTACAATTTTCTGTAAATGGTGGTTTCCAGGGGGACAGTTATGAGCTATGTGCAATCCACCATTTCATATAACTCAAAGTCTTGTGGTGGCATTTGAGTTTTGTTTTATGCCAAGTGCCCTTTGGTTGAGAATTTTTCATTGGTTGGCAATTTTTCATTGGATTCCAATTTGTTATCTTGTTGGTTTAGGAATGTGTTTAGGGATTTGAATGGAGAAAGAAGGTTAGAAAATTGATAATTTTGTTATAAATAAAATTTTATATCGTTTACCTTGAAAAGGAGGAAAACAGGAGAGAGAAAAAAGGGAAAAAAGGGCTAAGTTTATATATATATCAAACTTGGCCCTTTTTTCCCTTTTATATATATATTATATATAATATATATATATAGAATCACTTTTACTTTCTAGGGTGCCAACAGCAAGGTTAATGGATGCTCTGGGTGTTTGATTAACAAGATGACAAGTGTTCACAATATATATATATATACACTTGGCCCTTTTTTTCCCTTATATATATATATATATATAGATATATATTAGAATTTCACTTTTACTTTCTATTAGAGGTGCCAACGGCAAGGTTAATGGATGCTCTGGGTGTTTGATTAACAAGAATGACAAGTGTTCACATAGTGTCTATTCAGGGTTTGAATATTCTAAAGCTAGGTTGATGAAATGGTCCAAATTAATCAAATGTCATGAAGGGCTGCTCATCTAATGACATAACAACTTCTGCGCAGAATATTATTTCAGAATTCTCCATGTGGCTTTTTTTTGTTTTTTAAGTTTACTTAAAGTAGTATCAGTTATTACTTTTTGCATTAATGGATTTATCGGATGAATATTCTTAAATTCTTACAGTATTTCTCTTTGTTAATGGGAAAAAATGTGCAGGAACAATTTGACAGTCTGCGAACTGAATTCAGTAGTGAAGTTGAACTCCTAGCCAAAATTGATCATCGGAATTTGGTGAAACTACTTGGTTTTATTGACAAAGGAAATGAGCGCCTTATCATTACAGAGTTTGTACCAAATGGTACTCTTAGGGAACACTTGGATGGTAAGATAACTCAACTGTTAGATTGGCGATGATTTCTTTTCAAGTCATAATGTCAATACTAATCTTTTGTTATTATTTTTGACAGGTCAGCATGGAAAAATCCTTGATTTCAATCAGCGGCTTGAGATAGCCATTGATGTTGCTCACGGTCTAACATATCTCCATCTGTATTCAGGTGAAAAATGTTCCAGTTAGTTAAAATTGTTTTGGTATTATCATAGAAAATTCATTGAAGTTGTTTTTTTTTTTTAAATAAAAAAAAAAAAGAATGAAAGTTTTCTAGGGCCCAACCAGGTTCAAACCGGTGACCTCTTAGCAGTCAAATGCTCTACCACTATGCTATGGACCCTATTGATGGTTCATTCAAATATTACTATAAGGTTTTCCAGTTGGAGAAGACTGAGTAGAAAGAACAAAGAATTGTGTGGAATGTACTTTCTTTTATAGGAAACAAGGAGTTTATTAGTAATAGAATTGCTAGAGAAAGAGTTTAAATAAGGGAACAGGAAGTCCAAACTTCAGAGAATGAATAGTAAACTGAAAGAATTGTATATTATAACTAAATAGCTTGAAATACCTGGTTTAAAATTTCAAAATTTTGTTGATGAAAACTTAAGGACTACCCTTTACCCCTGTGTTAGTTTGTGGTAAGCCATTACACTAATGAAAAAAATAATGCGCTGTGAACCATGTAGGGTGACAAAATTATAAACAATGCCTGTATTCATCTAACTTATCTGAAAGCACTGTTATCAAAAACTGATATAAATTTCGTTATAATTTCAAAAAAACAACTTCTACCCCTTGGTGCCCTGCCTACCTCGTCTCTCCTTTTCTGCTACTCTGCTTTTCAAGAAATTTTAATATGAACAATTTCACATCACAGCTTGCCACTGCAGTGTTTGTTATAGATATGATATTCTGGCCTGTTCTGTTTTATCAATTTTTTGTTTTACATTGCCAACATCCTTTCAATCCAACTTGATTTCTTTTCCCGGGTGCTTTTATTTCATTCAATTGTTCCCGCATTCTCAGTTAATTATGTTTGTTTTCATTTCTGCTGTGCTTACCATATAAACTTCCAAATTACCTAATTAAATTGGTTTTACTTAAGATAGTTATTATGTTATTATGAGGGCTGCGGTCAGAAAACATCCTTACCTTATTTATTTGTTCTGTTTGTTCGTGTTCACCGGTTGAAAATATCTCTCCTTTTATTTTAGACAATTATTGGTTCATGAGAATGTTCTTGAGCTGGACTTTCTGTGTTTCTCAGTCAATGTCTCATGTACTTTTCTGAAATCAAAGGTTTACAACTTAGATGAAAGATTTTAGTATTTTAGGATTCTTTAAATATTTCTTTTTGTGATTTATAATTATCTTGATTGCTTATAACATCTTTATAAAATTTTCAAGGATTCAATTACCTAGAATTTAAATATTAAACATGAGTTCATGATATTAATTCCTTTTTTCAACATTAATTATCATACATGTAGGATAAATTTATTTTATGTGGAAAAAGAAGAATTTTCCAATGAAATTGTGTTTTTAAAAATAGGACTAATTAAGCACATTAAATGCATCAGAGATTTGAATATTTTTGTCGAAGAACAACATATATATGATTCCACTATGATGGTTAGCTAAACCTGAACAAAGATTTTACTACTTCAAGGCTTGGAATTTATACCAAGTAATAGAATCAAGACTTGATTGTATTCATATTTCTATTTGATTGGTGCTAGTGGATACTGGATACTGCCTTTGGATTTCAATGCAAGTTAGAAAACAGGTTTCTTCTTTGACCACGAAATCCCAATATTAGTGATAAGATAAAAGATATTCAATTATAATCACACAAATTATTTCATAAGTTTCCATGTCCTGATCCATTGCTTTTGTAATTCTCATTTGACTTCTACATTTGTAGCCTTATTGGTATATACGACTGTGAATTTTACATAAATGAAATTAGTGCCTAACCTTATATTCTTTCTTGAAACAGAGAAACAAATAATACACCGAGATGTGAAGTCATCCAATATTCTACTGACAGAGAGCATGAGAGCAAAAGTGGCTGATTTTGGATTTGCCAGACTTGGTCCAATGAATTCTGATCAAACACACATTTCAACCAAAGTGAAAGGGACAGTTGGCTACCTTGATCCAGAGTATATGAAGACCTATCAGCTCACCCCCAAGAGTGATGTATACTCATTTGGAATTTTACTTCTTGAAATTCTGACAGGCCGCCGTCCTGTGGAGTTGAAGAAGCCAGTTGATGAGCGGGTGACTCTTAGATGGGTAAGATTGTGTTCCTTTTGACAACATTTTTATTTTGTCAAGAGTTGTGATTGCTCCTGACCCAATTTGATGGATCATTATACATAATTAAGTGAGACCTCCTGCACTAATAAAAGATATTTATACCTTCTACACCCATATAGTCTACTTACTGGACGATATATTGTCTTAAGAGCTGGCCTGAACCAACTCTAGCTCAATTGTTAAGAATGTTTATAGAAATATCAGAAATGTTTGTTCTTATGATACTGAATATTTCCAATACTACTAGTGAGTTCTGCGTGAATAGTTAGAACTTTTCATCTGTAGGCATATTGATCATAGATAAATTGAGAGGAGGTAGGACATCTAATTGAGTGAGAACTACAAATATGACTAAAGAATTCTGCCCAGGATGGCGAAGTACACTTCACCTATTTTAAAAGAAGTCAATAAAGTTAGGAACTTGGACCTTTGTCACTTGAATTTAACACGCATCGAATTAGGGGAATTCTTACAAACGGAGATGCCTGCTACTATCAATGCAGGGGTACTCCAAGTCAGCTTTTATTTAAACTGTTATTCAGTTCTCCCATCTGAGCTTCAATACCTTCAGAAATGATTACAAATACTAATCTTTAATCCGAAAAAAAAAGGTTAGATGCTGGGTTAAAGCTTTCAGAATGTGTGGTTTTGATTGTGCAGGTCTTCAAGAAGTTCAATGAAGGAACCGTATTTGACATGGTGGATCCTTTGATGAATGAAGTAGTAGATGTAGATATTCTCCAGAAAATGTTTGGTTTGGCAATTCAGTGTGCAGCACCGATACGAAACGATCGACCGGACATGAAATCTGTGGGAGAGCAATTGTGGGTAATAAGGGCAGACTATCTAAAGAGTGTAAAGAAAGGGTAACATTGCAAATTTGAGACTGAGTGTTTTGTGTATTCAATATAAAGAGTTTGTTGTTAGCTTATCTTGAAGAATTGGATTTTGGCCTTTAGCAAAGCTTTTCCACTTTTTACCTCTTTGACTTTTTTCGTTCATAGAAATGTGTTAATATATTTGGTGTTCTTCAAATTATTGCATATAATTATTTGCTTCTAAGGTTTCCTGGCTTTGGCTTTGGCTTTTGTTTGGGTACAGCTTATTTATTGTTTATGAGAATGATTCTCTTGTGGAATGTAGCCCTCCAAACTGATAAAAGTGACATTTTTGACAAATTGATAATTGATATTTCATATTTTAAGAAAGACATTTTTCTTTCATGAAGCAATTGCTCCTGCAACATTTCTGGATCTAATATTGTACTGTGATCCTTTTGTCTTTTATGTTGTAAGAAAATATTTTCATCACAAAGCAGCAAATCTAGAAGTTTGTGCTCTTTTGGTGGTTTGTTTTTTGTTAAATGTGTTTTAGCACATTGTTGTAATAGTCGGGTTTTAAAACCAGGCTTGGGGTGAAACCCGGTAAAGTGGTTGGGTTTTGGTTCATCGGTTGAACCGGTTTGACTAGGGGGTCAAATTAGTGGTGTTAGTATGTAAAAAGGTTTGAAATCTAGTAAAAACACCCTCAAAAATTATACATAAGTCCATACAAGTTCGAAATCCTACAAAAACACTTGAAATTACACGATCGGCATCGATAACCCAAGCTAATCGACAACACACTCCATCACTACGGAAACTCTCCCCTAAGCCTTCTGACCAAAACTCATCTCATCCCATCCTCGTTTGTCTCACCAACTGATTTATTTTTGTGATCTCCAATCGTTTTACTCATTGGAAATCACCTTTATCACCACCTTTTGACTCATCGGCACTCATAACATCCTAACCACCAATTGTTTACCGATCATCACTCCAATTTCTAGAGTTTGCCATGAACAGTAAAATTGGTAACCCGGCCCGGTGAAGACCTCGAGTCCCAATTCAACCGATTGGGCTAAGTTTTAAAACACTGGTAATAAAGTGTCACATACATTTTATGAGAACAAGTTATATATTTGATTAATTGTGACAAAACCAATACATGGTGGCAGTAAGCCATTATTGGGTAAATTGATAATCTTAAGTTTTAATAACTATTATTTTTTAATGTCAAATTTCTGTAAATAACTAGACTAATGATATATTTCACTGAAACAACGACAGAATCAAAGGCATCATAAAGGAGGGAACTTCTTTTTGGTGATATTTCACACATTTGATTCTACTTGTTTTAACTTTTAACCATTGTTTTAAAAACCGAACCGAAGAGCAACCCGCTCTGATGGCTGGGTCACAGTTCAACCAGTCCAACCGGTTGGACCGCCGGTTGAACCGATGGTTTGACAGGTTTAAAATCTAACAAAAACACCCCTGATAAATACCATCAGACCCTATAGGTTTGAAATCTAGCAAACACAACTCTAGCCAAATGCAAATCGGCGATCGATTGGGAGAGCAGCGGTGACACACTAGGGAGGGTAGATCGGATGATGGGGAGGGCGAATCGGCAACTAACAAGTAGAGGCATCGCCGGAAAATGACAGATCGGTGGTGGAAGTCAATGGTCGCGGTGGCTTTTTTTGGTGAGATGACTGGATCTTTGTGAACGACGGCAAGAGAGCTTGGGAGAAGGTAGATCGGTGGCTGAGGAAGCTTGTCGATGCCGGAGAAGGCCGATCGACGCCGGGAAATGAAAGAAAAATCACGCGGCGAAGGTGGACGACGAAACATCACGTGACGACTGGAGATGAAATGTGACAGCGTCGGAGAAAGTTAGAAGGTGGTTTCCGACAGTTAGGGAAGGTGGGAGGTCGCCAGAAAAAGGGAGGTCATTGTCGATTTGCATTTGGCCATAGGGTGTGTTTGCTAGATTTGAAACCTTCAAGAACTGATGCGTATTAATCAGAGGCGTATTTGTTATATTTTAAACTTGAAACAGTTAAAAAGAGTGACCTGACCCGGAGAAGGCCCCCAGTCCCGATCCAATCAGTTGGACCGGCCGGTCCGATCCGATTTTTAAAACAGAGCTTTTAACACCAGACATTTACTATCAATCCAACCCATTTACATGTTCAGTGAAATCCATTGACTAGTAATATTATAATTGAAGATCCAATAACATTAGTGCTTAAAGAATAACTTTGTAAAGTTCTTTTTGAAATAATAACTTCTTGACCGTACTAAATAGATACTGCTATAACAAGGTGTCACTCGTACAATACAGAAGTCCCTCTAGCATAAAAATAGTAAAAAATTTCCCACTTCACTTGTTTCATCTGAAGGCAGGCTAGCAACTATACAACACCTCAATCTTCTCAAAGCCCTTTATGAATAATTTCAACAAAAAATTCTTGTGTGAAGCAATAAAAAATTTATATACTAGGAGTTAAATAGTGTACAGATACTTAACCAGAGCAAAACTCATCACTAATAGCTCATCATCATAAAATCACCTACTCATACACCTTATAGACATGCCGATATGCTCCCATCTGCTCGTATTCAGCTCTGGAATGGATATAATTGAATGCTGTAACTGTATGCAGCTGAATAAGACTATTTACAGTCTTATTGTTGAAGGTAGGATCCAATGCTTGACTGAGATTTTCTAAAAGAATCTGAGTATTTGGGGGAAGCGAACTCTTAACCTTTTCCACCTACTCCTTACCAGCAAAGGATGCAAACCCAGTATATGTACTGGCATGAAATCGTGCCTTGTCAATATACCCACTACAGGCGATCTCTGCAATTAAGAAGCATCAAATCCAAACATGGTAAGAGAATTGACATTGTTTCTTATGAAAAACAGAAAGAAATAGAACCTCCTTTATGTCAAATGATAGATAACCTTTGACCACCATCAGAAAACACAAGAGAAAGAGGAGATAAGAGCTCAGGCAAGGACAATAAAAGGCACAACCGCCCACAAAGACGGGGACATAAGCCTCTAACTACCACATCAGAAGTCCTGACAACGGTGCCAAAACAAGCCCTTATTATTGATAAAAACTATTGACAATAAATAAAACTATTGAAACCAGAGAATTATGGGAAAAAAGAAAAATGGAATCATTGGGCACTAAAATTTCATCTGCACATGTGAATCCGGGTAATATTGGACAATGAAGTTCAAAACATCAAAAATGGAAGTTCAAAACCCTAATTCATGTTGGTGACTTTTCAATTATTGGCAAATATAGATAACTGCATAAAAACGGAAAATAAAAAAAAAAAAAAAAAATATGGACCACTTAGGAAAAGATATCTTATAATTCAGGACTAACTGAAAGGTAGCAGAAATGGAAAATGACTTACACCAGAGGTCTTAGGTATCACCAGCAGGTGCCTCAAAGCAACTTCCCGGAAAAGAACAAGAGCCTTTGCTAGTGACATTGTCTCTACAACAGTATAAGGTGATGCATTAGTAAAAGGATGCAGATCTAAGAACAATTCCATCTCTTCCAACGATAAGTGGATGTCTTCTATGTTGTCAAAATTGCCTGAACCCCTCTTTGCAAAATCAACCGCTGAGAACTGTGTAAAAGCTTCTACGCCAACTGGCTCTGGAGTAGTTAAAAAAGCTTTTTTCTTTAGCAATGTAAGAAGATGGGCCCGAAGGATTAAACCATAGAGGACTGGTTTTTCGGAAACTGGATGCTCATCAATCACAGGAAACCCGTTATGCCTAGTAGTTTTGAGAACATGAACCACATTACCAACCTTCTCAATGCCATGAAAAAACTGGAGTGGGCCCGTAACAACGTCAGCAACTGTCAGCTGCCTCATATAAGGCTCAGCATGAGTTTCTAGATAAGGAAAGCCTTTTGCCTTCATGATAAGGTCATATATGTTGCCATTAAAAGCATCTGCTACAGTCTTTGAAACTAGAAGAACCAACATTATCAAGGGTAGCAATAGTAGATTATTGGTAAGTTCGAGGATAATAACACACAAAGAAACTGTCATCCTCATAGATCCACCAAGTAATGAGGCAGCACCAAGCACAGCATAGAGGCCATGATTAAGACTTGTGTGATGACCAACTAACATTCCAACAAAACGCCCATAAGATGCCCCTGTAACAATGACAGGTACAAAAAGACCAGCAGGAGCAACAATCCCATAGCTAAGAATACTTAGAAAAAAGCAGGTGATAAAGAATATAATAATTGACGAATATTGAAACTCAGAATCAGTGCCGCTGCTGAAAAGATTTTTGATAGCATCATCATTTGTATTAAAAATGAGGCTGGCAAGATCATTGTAGTGACCAGGAGGACATTGGAATTTCTTGTAGTTCCCAGACCGGCCTATAGTTGGACATTGTTCTGATGTGTCAGATGGGCAAGGAAGGCATTTTGCAAACCACGGTAATCCAAAGAGAAGACAGGATGTGAAAATTGAGATTGACAATGCAAGAAAGATTTTATAAGCAACCCCTTTCCTGGAAAAGAGAAAATATAAGGAAAAATTAGCTTGGCAAATCACATTTTACCAGATACTGGAGACACAATTTTAGCGTAAAAGTAGAAGCTTACTCATTAATAAGATTGTAAACCCGGAGAAGTTTCTCCAGAAGAAAATTATAGAAACTCCCCAATATGCCCCCAACAATTCCAAGAATAAGTACAGGTGGAAGATCCACAAGGTGATATGAAATATTTGCCGAATATGCATCATACATTATCAGCCCCCCTTTACCAAATAGTCCACACTTGCCACTTAAGCAAACATCAATTAGAGCCCTGAGCAGAATAGCAACAATAGCAGTTGTGAAGAAAGCTCTCCACAGAAGGGCACTTCTCCACCTGCAAATTAATATTTTTTGATATTAAGTTTGACATAAGGGGATTTAACTTACATATTACTTGCACTGTCAGTGTGCAGCCCCAATACTGAGACTTTTGTATTCTTTTCAAATTTAGGAATAGTAATGTCATTTGGAAACCACAATTTCAGAATAAATTGGACATGCAGATTTGTAACATCAAAAGTAGAAAAAATAATGATCATGTCCTATAACACCAAAGAATCCACCTTTATTTACTTCAAGATGAATGAAAATATTCATCTTGTATACCACTTGTAAGACCTACAAAGATGTAATTGTTAAGCAATCATTTGACCTAAAAATTTAAAAGTTGATAATTAAATGTCCAATAATAGAATTTAAGCTCTGATACACCCCTTTATGAGCACTTGCAGGTGGACCGACCACAACTATATAACAACCATCACAAATACAACCATCAATTATTATAATTTCATTAATCTAGTAAGGATTTTGAACGCAGAAACTCTTGGTCAATTTGGCTTAACACCTGCTACGTAAGCTGACAGTAGATTTAAGCTCTAACAGTAATATTGCCCACAGCATGACCACTATAATTTGACTTTCTCAACTATGACACTTAGCAATACTTTAAAAACGAAAACATCTAGATTTCCAGAACATAGAATCATTGGAAAGAAAGAAAATGAAGATAGAGACAATAAGAGACCATCAAACACATAAGAAGCAAGTTCAGCTGGATAGTTCTACATACCAAGATGCCATTTCTTCAAGAGCAAACAGCAAACCACCAACTGGAGCACGGAAGGAAGCCGCAATTCCAGCAGCAGATCCGCATGTTACAAGATCTCGCCTATCTCGGTCATTTTTGAAGAAACGTAACCATTTCCATGTTAGGCCATATTTACTTGACCCACCCTGCCCCAGAAGTGATGCAACACATGCACCAGTGTGTACCATGGGCCCTGCCTTTCCAATCAGAAGAGAAGATGACACCGCAAAAATGCTTCCAACAATCTGCACATTGAGCAAACATGAACAATACCTTTACTAAAAAGCAATGAACGTAAATAAAGATATCTGAAGCACTTATTCTTATTTTTCTGAGAGTTGGACATCCAAAGACAACCAAAGGGCTTTGTTGATACTGTCTAATAAAAGAAAACCCCTATACAGGTAAGAAGAATTACCTCAGTGAAAAAACCAATAGAAATCTTATTACGTTGCATTTATTTCAGAGGAAAGATACATAAATACTAATAGAAGATAAATTAGATAATACCAGCAGATTAATCCAAGATAGATTCGAAGATTTGAAGAGGAACACAGGTAAAACATCCTCTTCTGATTGCAGTATCCAATTTCAGAACATAAATCATTTATCAATCAAAGTATTGAAATTTTTATTATTCAGAATTCAGTCAACCTGGAAATGATTTCATCCTAAAATTACAACAAAACAGTATAGAGCTATCTTAAGGTCACTGGTGTATTTACACTGTCGATTAAGATGGAAAAGTAAGTTAATTACAAATCTTACGATTTGGATGCCTACAATCACACTTTCGGGTGGTAAATGTAACATTGCAAAAAACATAATCATAAAAACATTGAGATCATAAATACTCAATAACACTTATAACAGTTTATACACACAGAAGCTCAAATGAAAAACCAGCATTAACCCAACAATCATCCCCAACATTCATCTTAGGCATGCCTCATAACACTCAGAACCACTCAATCCTAATCAACAAAACTTCTTGTAACTACAAAACAACATAAACAACTTACTTTAACAATCATAGTTCGAAATGAAAGTATACCAGGCGCGTCCACTCCGTTCAGGTAAGCCTTGACTTCGGGGATACCAGAACCTGTGGCCGTTGGCGCAATAAAGGCGGTGATGATAGCAGCCAAGAGAGTGAGTACTAAATTAGAAACAGAAAACACTAGAAAGGCGAATCCATACCTGTAATACAAATAAACAAATAAATCCCACAAAAAAAAAGAAAAAAAAAAAAAAGAAGAAGAAGCTCAAAACAAAAACCAAGTCTTTTATAGCACTTACTTGGAGGCTAACATCATATTAGAAGTAACCACAAACTTGATCCCTGCAATATTCTCAACAGCAAGATTATTGAAGAACCCAATAAGCCCAACAATCAACCCAATCAAAAAACACAGAGACCACTTCATAAATATATACTGAAAAATATAAGCTTTCCCACGAGTTCTCCAGTCCTGCTTGAAAAAATCATTCTCAGCTATCCTAAAAAAAAAATAGAAAAAAACAAAACCACATGAAAATACAAAACAAAACCGATAAAGAGGAATTGAAGCGGTGTAAAGATTGAAACTTTACTCATAATCAAGACTTTCAATGGGGCAGACATAAGAGCCGACGATGGCGACTTGAGAGCTAGAATTAATGGGAGATCTTTCGCGGCGAAGTAAAGGGAAGGTGATAGATTCTTGATCTTGAACATGGTTATCGTCATGGTCGTTTGAAGAGTTAACAGTAGAGGACATAATTTATGAGACTGGGATTTTCAGTTGGTGAGGAAAATATTGGGTTATGTGAAATTTGAAAATCAGTTGAGTGAGAGTTTGTAAGAAGGTAGAATTATTGTAGTTAGTGAAGAGTATGAGTTTTAGTAAAAGTTGCCATTCCATTGCCATTCATCAACCATTGCATATATTCTGTGCCATGGAACCTCGTGTGTGTCGTGCGAGAATTGAATTTCTTTTTTCTTTTCTTTTTTTTTTTTTTTTGAATGTAATAGATGTAATACGACGGGATTGAGACAGTGGTAAAAGAAGTTTGCTTCTCTTATTGGGTTTGTGTGATTTATTTTAGACTATTGTGTTTATAAAATGTTTAATAGATCCTGATAATTAGTTAAAGCACGAACAAACTAACTTGAACTTGGAATGAGCATGAAGAAATTAACTATACTTCTTTATCTTTTGAGTTGTTCTGCCAAATTGGTCACTCCGGACCTTTGGTCTCTACCCGAACCTGATGAAAAAAATAGGATCACTTCTTCTAGACTCATTGAGAATGATCCTAATCTAGTTCATGGCCTACTAGAAGTAGAAGGCGCTTTGATGGGATCCTCACGAATAGAAAAAGATTGCAATTGGTTTGATAATGATCGAGTGACATTGTTTCTTTGGCCTGAACCAAAGAATCTCTTAAATATGATGCAAAATGGATCTTGTTCTATCGTTGATAAGAGATTTCTCTATGAAAAATACGAATCAGAGTTTGAAGAAGAGGAAGGAGAAGGAGTCCTCGACCCTCAACAGATAGAGGAGGATTTATTCAATCACATCGTCTGGGCTCCTAGAATATGGCGCCCCTGGGGCTTTCTATTTGATTGTATTGAAAGGCCCAATGAATTGGGATTTCCCTATTAGGCCGGGTCATTTCGGGGCAAGCAAATCATTTATGATGAAAAGGATGAGCTTCAAGAGAATGATTTCTCTTTCATTAATGGAAATTTTTTGATATAGTTAGTAATAGTGATTCGCTGTTCAAGAATTCTTGTTTAAGCAGTTCATACCATCTATACATAGTTTTTTATTTAAGATTTCAATTCTTCTATGTTTCAGCAATAACATATTGTTCCATGGAGCTAAGGTCCAAAATATGGAAGAAACAAGTGTTTCCACGACTCTACCACCCAGTCAATTATGTTCCACTTAATCCCTATTTCATGGCCACATATCTTTCCGGCTAAGTAATGGCAAACCTTTCTCCTATTACATGAATCCAATTTTCATTTCATCCGAGAAAAGCCATCTTTTTCTCAACAATGTCTTTGTCATTTGATCCAATAGCATTCTGTTAGATAGAAACAGATTTGATAAATACTGATAACTCTCGGATGGAGTAATAGAAAGGAAAAATTCATTAGATAATGAACTATTGGTTCTAAGCCATCTCTGGCGATGAATCAATAATTCGAAGTATTTTTCTTACGTATTCTTGATAAACCAGCATTCAGATATAGATGTAGGAGGATCCGTTTGGGAAGTAAGAAGTCCTTTTGACATCTCTTCATCTGCAAAGAATTCTCGATGTAAAAAGATAGAGACAAGGGGCTGATCTTTGAATAGGCATCTTGGTCATTAAAAAAATGTAATAGATGTTTTATTATAAATAAACCTATTATGCTTAGAAAAGTAGGGCTGACGTGGAGTCTTGTCAGCATGAGTGATCAAGACCTAAGAAAGTTCTACAACTGCTCAGATGCAGCCACGTCGTGGGATGACATGAGTGGCATGCTCCTGCCAGTGTAGTAGGTGCGCGTCAGGTTGGCGAATGGTTGGAAATGATCCACATGTCCAATCCCTGCACAAGTCAAGCAAATCACTCGGGCAGGTGAGCAATGGGACACAAAGAAGGATTTGCACGGCATCTACCCCACTCGCAGATTTAGTAATCATTACCTTAATCTATCCCACTATAAATAGGGGACTCCTCTCCTATTTGTGGGATTCGCTAATTTCACTCTAGAATAGCATACTCTCTCTCTCTCTCTCTCTCTCTCTCTCTCTCTCTCTGGTGTAATCTCTAAGATGTAATTCAGCTCTCTGAACGCAACCTGACTCTACTCATTAATACAATATCAGTGGACGTAGGATTCGCCTTATGGGCATCCGAACCACTTTAAACATTGTTCTTCTCCCTTCATTCAACGAAATACTCCCAAAATCACATGTGACTTCTGAGCCCTCTCAGCATTTCTCACATGCAAATAGTTGGTGTTAAAATCAAGCATCAATAGTTTGGCGCTAGAAGGAAGGCCTGATTTAGTATATGTTCTTCATCAGGATAATCTCTGACTAATCGGTCCCACTACAGCAAATGGCTCACAGTTTCGAATCTGGGTGAACCAATTATGGCAATGAAGAGATCCCCCAAGTACAAGAGGACACTTCTCCTGAAGTGCCCCCAGCCTAGCAAAATATCATGGGGGATATCCCTTCAAGCTCACGGCTCGATCCAGTCGTCATGAGCTACTTGGAGAGGTTCAACAATAGTCTCCAAACAGTCAGCCAAAGCTAGACCGATTGGATCGGGTCATACCACCCTAATCAAATGGAGCGGTGCCATCATCGAAAACGCCTGCAGGTCACACGAAAGCACGGAAAAGGGTAAAAGCCCATACCGCGTGTACTGCAGCGCATCAAAGAAGGGGAAAGCAAGTGGTGCACAACAAACCCAAAGGCTCCGAGGGACCAACGAACACCGATCGTGCCCCTGGTAGAATACCTGTGGCATTGAGACTTGGTGACATGTCGCGGCCCGAGCCATCCCGTGCCACATCGCACGAGCACTCCCACAAAAGTACAAGGCGGGGAGATTCTCATTATCGCCAAAATGATGACATTGATCATCATCGTGCGAGGGATTCCTACCGTCCGCGTGTCGGTTCATACCACTGCGGAGGTCGAGAAGGCTCCCCAAGCCATTCAACGCCATCACATGGCTCTGACCAGCGTGTCTTGAGATTGGCCAGAACTGCCAGTTGAGGGGAGGAAGAATTCGATCTACGGTCTTTTCTTAATCGCAACAGTGAGAGTCGAACCCGTGTTGGAGAAAGTGATCCTCGGATAGCTCCGTTGCCTCAGATTAAGGAACTATAGCGAGCTCTGGATCAGTTAAAGGCTCAACGAAATAAGCAAGGGCAGGTTGTAGAGGCGTCTCCCTTTTCTCTGGCAGTATTTGCCGCTCTCCTCCCATCAAGATTCAAGATGCCTGACATGCGAGTATTCGATGGGAATTTTGATCTGCAGGATCATCTGTACGAGTTCAACAACCTCATGGAACTCCACCAAGTCTCTGGCTTGGCAAAATGTCGTTGCTTGGCTATAACTTTTACCTCTCATGCCAACCAATGGTTCAGGTGGCTCCCAGCAAGATCAGTCAGCTCGTGGCCTCAAATGAGCTCCACATTTCTGAGGCACTTCTAGGCGAACAGGAAGTTCTCGATGCCCTTAAGCTACCTAAGTAACATAAGGCAAGAGAGGGATGAGCCCCTCCAATCTTATATTGACGAGTTCCACTAGGAGCTTCACAAAGTAGCTCACACCCCCAAAGAGTCCGTTCGGACTCTTATTATTGCGGGAATTCGCCCACAGACAAATTTGTGGAAGGAGCTACAATCTGAGGACAATGTTTCCCTCACCCTCTTCTATAGCCTTATAGAAAAGTACCTCTGCATTGAAAACTCCGTGGCAGCGCTCAACCGCCATGACCCCAGTCCTTCGGGCAGTGCTCCCGATCAAGGGGGGGGGGGGGGGGCTGATTGGGGGGGGGGGGGGGGGGGGGGGGGAACAGGAGAGTTGATTGTAGATGGGCTAATGACGATATGCGAAAATGAAAGAAGTAGCGATATAAGCCCGAGAAATCTTATACCCTGGTTCCTCATCGCGATCATGACAAGCGTCAGTACACCCCTCTAAATGCCTCAGTCTCAACTATTCTTGATAAGTCGGAGAAGGCCGGTCTGCTTGAAGAGCCCGAGCCCATGAAAAATCCCTCTTCAGCCAGAAGCAGTAAAAAATACTACCACTATCATCGGGATAATGGGCACCACACCAATGAGTGTCGAGCCCTCAAGCAAGCAATTGAAGACCTCATTAAGTAGGGATACTTCAAAGAGTATGTCGATGACTTTGCTCCCGTTCGAGAGAAAAATCAAGAGGAATCAGGCAAGAAGCATCGTGGTCGCAAAGGTCTCTATAGTGTGGGGATCATTTTAGAGGGACCACATCTCGCGGGAAATTCGTGAGGTGCTCATGAAAGGTATGCTCGCGTAACCCGTCATGACCCAATAAGCATGATGAGTACGACGCTGCGACCAACAAAAGTCCGTAAAGAGGAGGAAATCACTTTCTCTAAGAAAGACACAATACGAGTGCATCATCCCCACGATGATGCTCTCATCATCACGCCTGAGATGGGGCGATGTGAGGTTCATAAAATGCTGGTGAACAATGGAAGCGCTGTGAACATCTTGTTCCAGCGAGCTTTCGAAAGGATGAAACTGGACGAAGTCGATCTGAAGCCTGCCTCCATCCCTCTATATGGTTTCGCCGGGGATCACCTGATCCCCAAGGGGACGATCTCGCTCCCGATCACATTGGGTGACACCAACGAGGTAACCAAAATTACTGAGTTCCTAGTAGTGGACTACCCGTCCGCTTTCAATGGCATCCTAGGATAACCTCTACTAAGAAGCTTCAAAGCAGTCACCTTGATCTACCATCTCAAGATGAAGTTCTCCACCCCGATGGGGATAGGGGAAGTAAGCGGATCTCAACATACATCTCGCGACTGTTATGTAAGGGCAGTATAGATGGCGTACAAGGGAAAAGGCACTCCCCTTGGCATCCCTGAACAGGCAATGGCGATCAGTGGGATCGAACCACACCTAGCCTAGTCGAGGATAACATAGATCCTCGTATCCAGGAATGCCCTTACAGTGGGCTGATTGAGGACCTTTCTGAAGTATCGGTCGATCAA